TGTAAAAAAAATTTTAAGTACTTTTTTCTCCCTAAAATACTTTTGGGGGGGGGGAGAAGGGGGGAAATCAATCCTGAATTTATTCCACACACAGAACTCTGATCAACTTTGATGGGACTCATATGCTCTGTATCAGACCCATTAATCAGAGACCATCTGATATAAATGGGCATTCTTTCATTGACTGAGTTTATGGCTTGATTCTGTTTTATATGTGGACTCTGATATTACTCTCTGTCGTATAACTCCACTGAAGCCAGTGAAATTAAATTGGTGTATGTGACAGTAGGATTATGCTCTTAAGGTTTGCTTTCTTGGCTTTGCTATTTTAGAAATGTGAGAAATCTGCTATTTGAAATTCAGCTTCCATTTCTTTGAAAGGTTATCGTCTTGACTGAATATCCTACAAAGTGCCCAACACACAATGTTTTTAGGGAGTTTTTATTTATTCAGCTATCAAACTAAAAATTTATGAGCATAGCCACAGCTACTGTATTGATTTTTATTGCCACAAACATTAGAAGTAAACAAACAAGCAATAATAAATTATGTCCTTGCAGTGCAAGCACAGCCTGAGTGAATCCTAGAGGCTATAGAATGCATCTAGACTTATTAAAAAACCCTATATTTCATTAATGAGACCAAAGTTAGAAAGAAGCCACTAATTCAGTTGAGGGCACCAGCAGTGGTGGATCTAGAGTAAGTGGGGCCCTGTGCACAGCTTCATATTCAGGTCCCCCCCTCGGGATCCAGCCAAGAAAAAGAATACTCACGCTCTTATCTCCCCTCGTTTTTCATTCTTTTTTTCCTTCATCCTCCTCCTATATTATAAGTAATGGGAAGTTAATGAAAATAAAGTGAGGTACCTTGATTGGGGCAGGTGGTTGGGGTACTGGAGGGGGGGCAGTGCTTACCTCGGGTGGCTCCCAAAGCAACCGGCACACACAACACACCCCACCAGCAGTGGCTCCTAGGTGGGGGGGGGGGGAAAGGGGGAATGCAGAGGGTCTCCATACACCACTGCCCGTAGGCACCTCCCCTGCAGCTCCCATTGGCCGCAGGTCAGCGCTCGGGGCGGGGGCAGCATGCGGGGAGATACACACACAGCCACCTTAGCCCTGCTGCTGGCATGTCTCTGCACTCCTCTTGAAGGGAGGAGGCGAGCAGGTCTGGGTAGCACGCGGCGCCGCCTCCTCCCCCCACCAGGGGCGTGCAGAGACGTGCCAGCAGCCGGCCACTTCTGGGAGCGGCGTGGGGCCACTGGCCACAGCATGCAGGCAGCCTGCCTGAGCCCTGCTGCACCGTCCTGCATTTTGGGGGCCCCATGTCACCGCATGGTTTGTTTCATAGTGAATCCACTCCTGGGCACCAGTCTACTTTGCTTACGTAACGTGGCACTGTTTTACAAATGTTATGACCCAGCCTCTTACAGTGAGGCTCTCCCTCTTGACAAAACTTAACATTGCAAAACATACGAAAGATGTATATAGTTCCCTTGCCAAAACATCAAATTAAGCAGAACAATGTTGAGAAATATTTTCATGTTTATCATGAGAATGTTTTTAAATTGCCAAATACAGTAGACTGTAAAAAGGTAAAATATACCCCAGCTATTGTAATTACATAACTCATGTAATCCAGAGCAGTGGAGGAACACCTATAGTTGTATTTAAAATTAAATACATTATATTGCATTTTATAGAACTTCCTCATGAAATTCAGCTTTTTACACAAGAACCACTCATTCATTATCTGTAATTTGTGTCCTGGTTTTGACAAGTCTAGGCATGATACCTATGTCTTCCGCTCTAAGTTTTCCAATCAAACTAAAATTATCACCCAATTAAAGAAAATTTCCACTCATTCCAAAGTTAACTTTTTTAAAAGTTAGTCCTTGAAGATCATTACAATGATGAAAGTCACTGAAGAGAAATACCCATTTTATAAACTCTTGCTTAGAAGTGATTTTGATTCTGACATCAAGAAGCCAAAGTAACTTAACAAGTTTCCTGATCTTTCTCAAATACTAGGAAGCTATATAAAGGCCTTGATTCAGCAGAGGACTTATGACTCAATGAAGTCAATGGGACTGAGACATATGGTTAAAGTTAAGCTTAGGCTTTGATTCTGCACAGATTTTCGCAAATAATGAACTTTACACATGAGGAGTCCCATTGACTTCAATGGCATAAAGTTCAGAACACACAAGTCTTTGCAGAATCAGGGCCAGAATCTGTTCAGTGCGGACTAAATCAAATATACACATACACTTTATAGATTCTTCCTGACACTCAAAAATTAAAGTGCCCTTTTTAATTCAGTTACTCATTTCTCCCATAACTAAAGATCAAAGAATGATATATGCTTGTACCATATTGTCACATAATTATTTCTGCAAAAAGTATTTGATTGCTTAGACATACACTAACTCCAGAGTGACTCACATATCCTGAACTTTTCTACTAGAGAATCCATTGTAGGAGTCGACAGACCTAACAACAAGCATCATCACTTAACTTCAAACTGACAGCCATAAGAGTGATAGCTTTGAACAACACCTTCCTCCAATAATGAGAAAAATGACTATTTCAGCCTGAAATGACTGCAGGGTGTGTGAAATATTTGCTAGTAGTGTCTGACAAATATTCTGCAAGTTCATATATATTTTTAGAAATAACTTGTATTATCACAGATGCTATTTGTGCTGCTGGTATTTGTACATATGCACAAAACAGGTACACTTTTCTATATTATGCAAGAAAAGTTACCCAACAAAAGCAGTGCCGATAAATTAAAGTAAATGGGGCACATCAGGCTGGAACAGACATAGGGCTTTCCTACATGGGAAAGTTACACAAGTATAAGATAGGGTGTGAATTTAAACCACTTGAGTTATACTGGTATAACTCCCTGTGAATGCTCTTATGAGGGTATGAGAATGCCTTTTTCTGATTTAGCTTATGTCACTGCCTTTTTGTGGTGTAGTTTAAACCACTTCCATTCTTATTCCAGAATAAGAGCATCAACATGGTGGAGTTAAATTGCTATAATCATACTGGTGTAACTATACTGGTATAGTTATATCAGTGCAATTGGAAAAGCTTCTTGTGTAGACAAGCCCATAGTGAGACATACAGAATAATTTTGGCAGTGTTAATGTCATGACATGCCCTGATATCATCAGTATGTTTGATTAACGGATTACTCCTGAAAGAGCCCAGATCCTACAACTGCTTACAGATGTTTAACTTTTAATTACATAGGCTCATAAAAAACTTTTAATTCAATGGGACTACTTACATGCATGAAATTACACACAACACAGTCAACCTGTGGAACTCTTTGCCAGAGGATGTTGTGAAGGCCAAGACCATAACAGGGCCCAAAAAAGAGCTAGATACGTTCATGAAGGATAGGTCCATCAGTGGCTATTAGCCAGGATGGGCAGGGATGGAAAACCATGCTCTATTTGCCAGAACCTCGGAACAGGCGACATGGGATGGATCACTTGATGACTACCTGTTCTATTCATTCCCTCTGAAGCACCTGGTATTGGCTGCTGTCGGAAGACAGCATACTGGGCTAGATGGACCATTGGTCTGATCCAGTATGGCCATTTTTTATGTTCTTATTAAGTGGTTGTAGGATCAGAGCCAGAGTTTTTCAGAGTTCCCCAGTCACAACTTTTCTAAGACTCCAAAAGCTGCAAACCAATCTATGAACGTGGAACCTTATGCCTATAAATTTCATATGACAGGATCGAAGCCTAGAAGACATACAGTTAGGATTATACAAGGCACAATCCCCAAATACACAAAACTTCAATTTTTGTTAATGGTAATTTGGCCTGAATAAAGGACTTCAGATTTACACAGAGCAGAACGTGGCCCACAGTGGGAGGTGTGCCCATTTTGTTTTTAATGATTTCCTTATAATGTCACACCCCAATGGCCCCCTCCCTCAGAGGGTCCCCTGGGGAGGCAGATCAGCAGTGTATGTTGCTAACACTGTTGCAGCCAAGAAACATGCAGCCACATCTACATCTTACCCAACCCCAGTCAACCGTGGGAAAAGGGTGGGGGGGGGCCCCAGCTGGGTAGGGGATTGCAAAACTTCCCCCTCTTCTTCTTACATTACACCCAGGCATGGCCAGCCTCACGTAGTGCAGGAGTGAGTGTGACAGTGGGTTAGGGCTTGGGGCACTAACGCTGTCTTCCTTCCTCGGAGTGACGTGAGGAACCCCCAGCACTCTCCGCTGTTATTTTATTAATAAAGCTTTAAAACGTAGACACTTGGTGTCCTCCATCATCTCTTCCCCTAACAATCCTGCAGCCTCAGCCTCGTCACCTAACACCTCAGACATATTGGGAACATAAGTCTGTCACAATACAAGCCAGGAAATCAGAATGATATTGGAATCATTTGTACTGTGAAGAGAGAAGACCATTCAGTGCACCAGACGGTGGTATTGATTACTTTGCCCCGGCCTGATATCCTTGACAATCGCCGCCCTCTACACACACTTGTCCTCTTAAATACACCGTGCCCCCTATACATTCAGTTTAAACAGCAGTGCAAACACACGCTCCTCCCACAGCCTGAGGCTCTCCGTCATGTATGCAAGTGCAAGACGCACAGCTGACAAGAGTGAAGCTTACAGCTCTTCTCTCCTAAGCAAGTTTGTCTCCCTTTCTAGGGCGTTTGAAGTGAGCTGGGTTTACCTGCACCTCCCGTGGAGCGAGGAACCTGACTTTCCTCTGCCTTGCACCTGCTCTCCCATTAACACCTTTTCAGAGCGGGGGGAAGGGGAATGCTACCGAACCAAAAGGCTCCTGTTTCCCGCCCACACTTTGGCCAAGCTGCGGGGCAATGGGGACTCAGGCCCTGAGCGTGGCCCCGGGGTAGAGACCACAGGGTCCTCCAGGCCCGGGGAAATAAGACCCCTCTCCCGCCCCCTCAGCCGGAGCTGTCAGTGGTACTGGAGTAGGGGAGGAACTCACCGCGCTGCCCTCGGCTCCCTCGTCCTCGCTCCGCGCGGCGCTGGGCTCGTCCTGCAGTAACTGCTCCAGGCAGGTGGTGCCGGGCAGAGAGGAGCTCTTCTGGTGGGACAGGTGTGCTGCGGGCCGGCGTCCCTCCTCCCCTCCTGCCTTGTCCGCGCGGGCTGGGGCAGCGGGAGGCAGCGGGGAGGAGGAGAGCGAGGAGACGGCGGAGGAGGAGGCGGGAGAGCAGTCAGGGCGGCCGGGTGGCTGCTGCCCCTTGCCCTGATGGTGCAGGTGCTCGCGAAGGCGGCGCAGGGCGGAGGCGGGCTCGCCGCCCGGCTCCAGCGGCTCGGCCGAGGAGCAGCACAGGTTGGGCTGGGAGGAGGAGAAGACGCGGTCCAGCACCTGCTTCCGCCTCTTGAAGCCGCTCCACCTGGCGCCGGGCAGCGGGTCCCCCTTGCTGCCGCCCGGAGGAGGCGCGGCGGAGGGCTGGGGCTCTGCAGTGCGGCGCTCCGCGCCGGACCGGCCGCTCCTGGCTTTGCTGCCCAGCTGCAGGTTCTTCCAGAGCCGGGCCTGGAAGGAAGCCGCGGGCTCGGGCTCGCTGGGCTTGTCTCCAACAGCAGCCCGCGGCTCCATCCTCTTCCTCCCGCCTCCACTTCCCCGCGGGCCGCGGCTCCTACTACGGCAGAGGCTGCGGGAGCAACGGCAGCAGAGCCCCGCTGGGGCCCGGCCGCTTCAGTCCAGTCCCTGCTGGAGAGGAAGCTGTGGCCGCCGCAGCTGCGGGATGCGCACGGGGGCTGCCGCCTCCTGGTGCTGCTGCAGCAGCCCCGGCTCTTTCCACCGGCCGGCTGCCAGCGGGCGCAGCAGCTTGATCGGCCAAACGGGCGGCACCAAAGTTTACCTGCCTCCCTTGCCCTAATTCCCTTCTTGCGGCCGTGGGCGGTTTTCACTGCTCGCGGGAGCTGGCTGGGGGGGGAGGGTGTTAACAAACACGTGTGCGATCATGGGGCAAACCCAAAACAGGGGGGGAAATCATCGCTTCAGATCAGAATGGAAAGTTTGTAACGATAAATCCGCAGATAGTCCCCTGGCGGTTGCGGGCTGCTAAGAACTCAGACAGCCCTGCTGCAGCTGTGCGGATTGGGGATGAGCTCCTAGGTGATCCTGCAAACGCTTTTATCACGACGCCAACCGTGAAAGTTAGGAGTTTAGTGAGGGACGTTGATTAATTGGCTCACTGTAGTCACAGCTGCGCAGGAGATGATGCGTGAGTGGCTTGTCACCGTACGCATCCAAAGTTGTAATATAAGCGGGTTCTCCCTGCCTCCTGCTGCCCCTTCCCCCACCTGACTGTATTTGCATTTGTGACTAGTCTCTATGAGAGAGAGATTAGAACAATTAGCAGATACTACCATGTAACCAGTAGGTATGGCAACTATAAAAATAACTGCAATCCTGTGATTCCTTGTAGGCTAGTTCCGGGAAGTGGGGGGAATTAAAGGTATAGCATCTATATGTAGACTAAAATAGTGTTTGGGGGTTAGGATTTCCATTTATAGCACGAATGTCTGCTATTTGCTCCCTGTTTCTCCCCTCCCGCCCCGCGATGTGCAGGTAGGGCCGGGCTGGCTCTGAGTTCTCCGACCTGTTCCGCACGATTAACTTGAGCTGCTGCACCGCCAAAGGTTTTCCTTCCAGATCTCTCCAACTGTCCTACATTGTCCTCACGCGTGCAAGGGTTAGTTTGCTGCTCACGACGGGAACTGAGCTTTTGCATATGGGGACTCGGGCTGAGGAAATTAATCTGAAATTATAGACAAGCGATGTCTGGCAAATCTCATTTGATGGAAAGGCTGAAACAGATGACTTTTGTGCCAGGCACACTTCCTTGGGGATGAGCCTTTAATTCTCTACGCCTCCGGCGGTATTTTACCGTAACACTCTCTTCCTTTAATAGAAATTGTGAGTTCCTGAAAGCAAATGTTAGTAATAAAAAGAAAGAGGAATATTACAGCTACCTCTACTCTCATGATCCCACGCAGTATCAAAGTAAATCACCAAACGGATCGCTTCAGGGAGGAAGAGAATAGAGACTGTAACTAGAGATAGACTTTACCCCGTTTGACCTGCTTCAGGTTCTGGACTTTTCAACGTGGTTCATTATGAATGCCTGACCTATTCTCCCAATAGTATTTTCTCTAAACACATTCACAGAAGTGTCGCTGTTGAAAGTGACACTGTGGAAGTGATGTTGGAGCAATGATTATTTAAAATGACTGATGCAGTAACAATCCCAGACATCACAGAAAACATTGACCTAAGTACACAATTTATCCAGGGATACATCTTCTGGTTTGTGGCTATATCCATATCCAGTCTTAGTTTTTTGAAGATATGAGAAAAATCATCTAGTGGGTTCCAATTTTCAGAAAAACAACCAGTAAAAAATGTCTTTACAACAAGAACAGAGCTGTAAAAATCACCAATAAAAAAAATAAATAAATTAGATTACACTTAATTAGGCAGTATTTCTGAAGCCCAGTTGGTCCTAGCATATATAAGAGACAAGGTGCTCTAAGAGCCCTGTGCAGCTAGAAAGCTTGTCTCTCTCAACAACAGAAGTTGGTCCTATAAAAGATATTACCTCTCCCATTTTGTCTCTTATTACATTGAATTGTCTGTTCCTATCACAATACACAAAACATAGGGAAATAATAGAACACAATCAGGGATTAGCTCTCACAATACAATTTTGGATCTCTCTGAAGCTTTGTTGTTTGTTTATTTATTTAAAAAGTTGAGAGATTCAAATGGTGCATTTTAGAACTGCATTCCACCATCACCAGTAAAGCTAAAGTAAGGAAGTACATAAAAGACCAGATCCTCACCTCGTGTGCCTCAGTGTAGCTTTGTTGACATCACTAATGTACACTAGCTGAGAATCTGGCCCTGAGTATTAAGGACACTTGCTGAAATTCCTGCTACTTTTTAAGTTAAACTATAAGTCTAATGAGTATGTTGCTAATGTAGTACATAAAGTTTTGTTGATGTAAATCCAACATGTGGTAATGGTGGTTTATAGTACTCGGCGAAATGATAAGAAGGCCAGAAACTCAACTTGTTGCATCTCAGAAAATGAGAAAGAGAAGATGTCCTTTCAGAATAAAAGAAAGCAATTATACACAAGGAAATGTCATATAGGACCAGGTTTTCAGTAATGTTTTGCCTACAGAATATACAGGTGCAAACAGCTGCGCTTGCAAAATTCATAATGACAAGGGGCAAAATTGCATATGCAAATACCTGTACATGTTTTGCACATGTAGCTTCCAGTTTGCATATGAAAACATATTTTGCAAATTGTCTTCAGCACCTCTGAAAACCTGGCCACTAAAATCACTCTTGACATATGTCAAAATTCCCAAGAGAAAGAGAAAACCAAAAGACAGAGTTAATGCTAAAAACCTAGCAACCAAAACAAACTTAATTATTTAACCACAATAGCCAGAGTACAAAGCCAGGAATATTTAACATAAGGATTCAAACTAACATCCAAAAAGACAAATGGCAAGAAATAAATTTATTTTTGCCCTTACTTTTCACTGTCTGAACTCTGGATGTCTGGTTAGGTAACTGGCTGCTGAACTGCTACAATTCCAGGCCAGCCCTAAATTATAAGTAGATCATTCATCTGCCTAGAATGAATTAAATGTGGACAGGCCCTTTTCTGTCTTTCCAAAACCATATTTACAGAACAGGAGTTGACCAGTGACTAAACTGGACTGCTCCCTAGTAATCTTGCTTTCTTTGAAGCCATTGCCTAGATTCCCATTAAATTCAGTCAGAGCAGAGTTGAGTACCGCTTTGGAGTAATAATCATGCAAACTCATGCAGTATAAGAGTGGTAGCCGTGTTAGTCTGTATCAACAAAAACAACAAGGAGCCCTTGTGGCACCTTAGAGACTAAAAATGTATTCGGGCATAAGCTTTCAAGGGCTAAAACTCACTTCATCAGATGCATGGAGTGAAAAATACGGTAAGCAGTATATATATTATAGCACATGAAAAGCAAGGACGTGCTGGCTGCTGCTTCCCGCAGCTCCCATTGGCCGGGAACGGCGAACCAAGGCCACTGGGAGCTGCGGGTGGCCCTGCAAATGTAAACAAACTGTCTGGTGGCCTGCCAGCAGATTACCCTGACGGGTCACATGCAGCCCTCAGGCTGCCCACCACTGATCAAAAGGTTCCAACCCTGCTGATGAACCATGTAGGTGTGACTATGATGAATTCCACATGATGTAATTTTTGCTTTTTCAGTTTGCTTTTTTAAAAACCTAAGAAATTATACCCAAAAAATGTTAAAAGAACATTATTGTAAAGTCAAGCACTCAAAAGTTAGGAAATGCTAGAATTAAGATTGCCTGGGCAACATAAATTTGGCTGCCTATGCATTATAATACAGTTGTTAATTACATGATCACATATTACTTTTTTCTACAGGACCCCTGCCCCATTCAGTGCATGGGATGGACCTGCTATGAGGATGAATCTGTGAAGGTTGTACAGTGAAGAAGACTCTTGTCTGAAGGGTCATGTCTCATTTGTTGCAGAAGTTGGAAGGTGTGTAGTAAAAGGTCTTGTGAGTCAGGCTGTTTAATTACAGCAACTCACACCATCCTCGGGGTTAAACACATCCAAGATTGGAAGGCAGTCTAATGATCCAAGGCAAAATTGCAAGAAGTTATGATGGCATAATCTGGCATTAATCAGAAGCTACTCATCATAAACAGGTCCATAAGAAAGGGAGCTATTGTACATGTTGAATTCTCTGAGCTAAATTACCTTTTGAAACCTTATTCTAAATCTGGAAGAAGGATCATAGCAAGAAGGCTCATGCCATTGTAAAACCAGAAGTCACATTAATTTTAAAATTCCTAGTTTGAATGAGACAAGAGTGAGCATGCAATGGCATATGGGACTTCACACCAAAAATAAATAATATTTTCACAATGTGCAAATAAGGTTTTATACAATGCAAATATATAATTTATATTTGGAAAAAAATATTTTTCCATGTTTTGTCATTAGTTGCTGTGCTGCTCTATGTTTCTATAGACTAAAATTGAGACAAATACAGAGTGACTTGGTAATTCAAGCAAGAGGCAGAGAAAATACAGAGTAGATAACTACTTTTTTGTTTTCACTGTTACTGTCAGAAAGGAAGAAAAATCTTGTGAGATAAAAGCAGTCTTCAGTACTCATTGAGGTGTTTCCTAGTTCTTGCTGTAAGTCACACAAGGCTAACCCAAGCCTGTTTCAAGTTGAAAAATAAAAGTGACATTTTTATAAATTCATATATTCCAAGGCCACAAGAGACCATTGTTAACATCTAGTCTGACCTCCTATACATAACACAGACCATAGAACTTCCCCGAAATAATTATTTTTTGAAAAAATCCAATCTTGACTTAAAAATTGTCAATGGTGGAGAATCCACCACAACCCTTGGTAAATTGTTCTAATGTTTAATTACTTTCACTGTTAAAAATGTATGCCTTATTTTCAGTCTGAATTTGTTTAGCTTCAGCTTCCAGCCAATGGACCCTGTTATACCTTGCTCTGCAAGACTGAAAAGC